TGGCTGACTGCATGCGGTCCCTTAAGCAATTTTATGGGGCCCGCGAATTTAATTGAATTAAATGTTTCTTGCAGATATGGTGTTGCAAATATTTTAAGAATTTAATTGTTTGAAGAACGAAATTACATTATTTTCATTGCCATTAAAAACGATTGCGAATAATGTAAAAGAAAATACATAAATTAGGAAAATTGTTTCAAAAGAATTATAAAATTGAGCTTAATTACCATATTTGCTGGCGTATAAGACGCACTTTTTTTCTTTGAAAATAGGTTTAAAAAATGGAATGCGTCTTATACGTCGATACTGCATCTTATACGTAGCAGAATAGAAGGAAGAGACCTAGCATTTCGCAAGTTTGTGAATGGATCGAAGCTTCATGGGATGCTGAGACAGTGGTTAAATTATTTAAGTAGTGTGGCATTAGTGATGCACTGGATGGCACAAAGGACAATTTGTTGTATGAGGACTCAGATGCTGATTTAGAAGAGATTTCAAGTGACTTTTCATTTAGCTCTGGAGATGAGTGTCTGGATTTTGACGAAGAAGATTAAGAGGTGTTTTTTCTCAGATTGGATATTTGCAGAAAGTATTACTTTATATTTAAAATATTGTAATTTCATTATAATGATCAGGAATAAAGTTTTATGCTTCAAAATTGTATATAAAAAAGAGGTTGCGTCTTATAGGCCGGTGAGTATTATACGCCGGCAAATACGGTAATTTACTAGTTTGATTTATTTAATCATGACAAAGCACTCCAAGGCTATTTGCCTAAGAGAAGGGATGCCTTCGCGGAAGACTTTATAAGCGAAACTGGCTCGCATACATGTTACACATGGGGAAAATCACGAAAACCCGCATAGCCCGTTCGGCTGGAATTCAACGCAGATTGGAACTACCAGTGTTCAGCGACTTTACCTCTCGGCCGCTGGTGGGCAATGAATTTACAGTTCGGTATAAATCTTACTCAAAGATTTGAAGCTATAGATTTCATTAACTCTGATTCGTACTTTTCAAAAAATAAATATTCTTAGTTACGAATTTTTGAACTAAAAATTATCTCATTCTTTTGTCATAATTATATGCGAACAGCGTTTTTTTTCACAGTCAAAAATTAATAAGAAAAGAACCCGACTGACCGATGAGCATTAACAATCCGTGATGAAAATAATTTCTAGCAATTTTGCTTCAAGTTACAAACTTTATCGGAATCGAAACGTCATTAAGGTCCAGCTATAGAAAGAAATAAAGAAGTTTTTAATTATTTGCATTCAAATATATAATACGGCAGAGGAAAATCACATAAATAAGCGAAAGACACTCGGTTGTCATTATTTATCCTCAAATTTTGTGCAACTTGAAAAGTTTTCATAGTTTATTTATTTTTAGTTTAGATTAAAGTTAGTTATTTAAAAATTAATTAAATATACTAGAATTATTTTAAATAAATGTCAGTCTTAATATTTTGTTGTCAATATGCTTAAATTATAAACTGTACCAAAAAAAGTTGGGTACCAACTTTAAATTTCAGATAGAAATAATTATAACATTTGAATTCCATTCTTCGCTTTTGTATTATTATTGTTTATGTATGCTTTGATAAATGTATATAATAAGCGAAAATTAAAATTTAGTTCAAATATTTTTTATTTTTTATTTTGTTGAAAAAAATGTTGATTTTGAAATAAAAAAATTAAAAATTAATAAAAAAAATTTTTAATTGCAAAACAGTTTCTGACTGCTGCTGTTTCGGATCGTGCATTCGGCCTTCATACAGTTTCAGTTTGTTGAGACCACGGATTTAATTTATGAAAATTTTCTATTTCGAATTTTTGGTGGAATGGTACGTTTGACAATGAAAAGCTCACCAATTTATGACCAAAACTAAAGTTGAAATCTGGCAGATCGAATTACTACTTAAAAATATGTTCAACTTTTATTAATTATACTGATAGTGTAAATGTTTATGAAAAGTATTAGCTAGGTGTCCATTAGTCAATATTATAAACAATATTTATGAATTGTTTTTAAATAGTTTTTTTTTGGGGGGGGGGGGGGAGGGATCACACTGATAACTTATCTACTGGCTGTGGTTTGAAACATTAAATAAGGGGGGGGGAATGACACTGATGAGAAAGAAACTACTGTAATTTAAAAGAGATATTAATTAAAATTTTATGTTCAGGAAATGATAATATCTCTCAGATGTCACACTTTTTGGGATACTTGGGGATTTATTCATCCGTAAACATTTTGGGGAATCTCTCGGCCTAACTGTGAAAATATGTCGTAATATTGTGCTACTGTAACGTAACGTGGCATGGCGCTAAGAATGGAAAGGCTATATTGTAAATGTTTTTAACGAAGCGTAACTGAGCTATTTTTTATTAATTAAAATTTGGTTATTAAATTGGGAATGGCTTCTTTTTCTTTGAAATGACTTCGTGCAATTATCTTCTCCAGCTTGTAGTGTGAATAGGGATTCAGAATTTCTAAATTAATTCGAAGTGTGTTATTTTTGCATGCATTACAATGGAAACACTTCCTTACATTACAAAATATATATTATTTATTTGTGAATAGTAAAAAAGGAGGGGAAAAAAGTATTGAAGAAAGTTTTTTCAATTGTGTGGTTATATTCTTTATTGATTTAATTTATTTTCTTCGTTATTTCGTTTAAGCGAAATTCAGTGTCGTAGCTAGGTGAGAGCGAGGCGGACAGTTCGCCTCGGCAGCACTTCGTTTAGGGCGGCATTTTACATAGGAAGCAATACAGGGGCTAGGCATATAGATCCAGCGGATCAGAAAGAAGGACTGGGGCTAATCGGATTTGGGTAAAGCTCACTACGTGTGTTTGTCTAAGGCAACGTTTCTTAAACTGTGGGTCGCGATCCCTAGGGGGGCGCGGGACCTGCAGCCGGGGATCGCCAAAAATTTAGCAGTTTTGATATTTGTTTAACTTATTATAATAATTTTACAATTACAAAATATTTTTACACAATGTATCTGAAAATAGATAAAGACAAGACAGAACAAACAAAAAAAAAAAAAAAAAAAAAAAAGGGGAAAACTTTCCCACGCATTCTTTTTATAATAGAAACGTTCATTTTACTTGCTTTGCACGTGACGCTCTCATTTCTTCTGTTACTTATTTAAAATTTTCACATTGTTCTATGTCTTAAAATTAGAAATTAAAGTTGATGACCTAAAACCGCAATAGTAGTATATTACAGTACAAGTGAAAAAAATTCGCAGTTTCACTCACGCGTGTATCGGATTTGCGTAATGCTTATTTGGTTTCACAAAATTTTCGTAAATATTATTGGGTCTTGGGGTTCGCGAAAGAATCTCAGTGATAAAAAGGAGTCGCGACTGAACAAAGTTTAAGAAACCCTGGTCTAAGATAAGGATGGCTTCGTGAAAACTCAAGTTCTCCACGAAGTGCTTAGGAACTGGAACTGGCTCATAATGACGTTACGAAAGGGGCACTGGCTCGTATTCACGTTTAGTGTACAAACTCTAAAAACGCTTATGCAATCAGCCCGCTCTTTGAGGTTTGATCCCAGCTCGAACTACCAGCGTGGCCGTATCTACTCGATCATTATTGAGATGAAGAATCATCACATGCTGAAAACAGTCATAGATCTTTATATAAATCATAAAACGCAAAGAGGCTGCTAAAATGTATCACTCATTAATGTATTTATTGTTTCGTATCACTCATTAATGTATTTTTTGTTCTACGAAAATAAGGTGTACGATAATAAATTTTATTCTAACGATGACAAGCCCATTTTCTGTTATCAACACTTTTGATTAAAGGAGTAATGGCAACAACTTCGTGTATGGCCACTTGTCGTTCCGGTTATAACGGGTTTGTGCGTATCCGTCGTGAAGATTCACCCTCGAAACTCCTAAACTGCGTTCGCGTAGCTTATGTGGGCGTGTCCTTGAAACGTTAATGGGTCAGGGTCATCGAGTCTTCCGACTCCCCGGCATTATGCGATTTGTTCTCTCTCATCGGTTCGTCGGCCTCGTTAATTAGGCTTTTGAAATTGTATTTATTTATTTTCCAATTATGTTTACGAAATCATCTAACCATAATATAGAGCGTGAGCAGTGATTAATGAATTGGCAAATAATTGGGCACTATCACCTACAAAATTAATTTTAGTTCAGGAGATTTTTAACGCTTTCTCTCAACCCAGTTTCCATCAAAAACTGGATTCCTAACTCGCCTCTAGGTGGAATGTGACCTTGCACTTTGATATACCGATAAATCTGTTATTTGTTCCGTATTTAATATTCCGACATGCGACACCAAGAATTTATGTTTTCACTTTGGAATCCTCTTTCAGTTAATTTTTTACATAAAATAATTCTTCTGAAATGCGTTGTAAAACTTACATTGTAAATTTTGTAGCATCCAGTCGTAAACGAATGCTGCAAAAAGAAACCAGCAGAACCAATGTTAATGTATGAACGCTAGAATTCAGACTGAAGTATCACGAGTTTAAGGGCCTTAGTTTTGGCAAACACATTTTATCCTTGATTGAGCGCGTATATTCTCCCAAACACTTCTAAATCCTGGAGACCCACGATTCTGTTAAAATGGCTTTACGCAGAGCAAAAATTTACTCAAAAGTCGTTGGTAGCATGTGTTTGTTAAATCACTCATACAGATCAAAATATTCTAAACTATAAAGATGATATAAATTTTCGTCTGCAGTAGAAAGCATTAATGATAAAATTCTAAGTATATTGTAGCTATATTGTAAAATATTAGGGTTTGAAAAAAAAATTTCACTCCTTTAGTAAATGGATGTAATGAATTTCAGATGTCCAGATTCTTTGTGTAGCTTGTTTACTGCTTCTTGTTACAAGAGCTGTTAATATATGTAACCATCTGATATATCCTTTTTGCTAGGATTAGGAAATGTCAGAATCAAATTAGTGTCTGTAAATGCCCAATTATTTTATTCAATTGTTATTTCCAGGTGGGAGTAAATTATTGAGGCTGTTACTTAGTTTTGCTGTGGGAGGATTGCTTGGTGATGTCTTTCTTCATCTGTTACCCGAAGCTTGGAAACACATCGAGAGCTGTAAGTTATTTTTCTCCAGTTCCCTTGCGTTAATCTTGATAATGATAGTTGTAGCATTTTGTAATGCATCTTCAATCTAAAGTATTTATTAATAATATTCTTAAACATTTCAAAAGAAGTAATCATTTGGAACTGATGATAAAAACAAATCACTTCTAGGAAGTATTGAAGTTATTTCCGGTAAAAAAAAATAATAATTTATCAAGAAATGTCGGATAAATTTAGATTTATTATATTATTTAGTAGTTGTTTTGCTTTAACAGTGTAATGTAGGAAAAGTTGGGCTTGTAATATTTAAAGAAATTGTAGTGCATTTTAATTTTTTTCCGATATATTTTATGGTAAAGTATTTTTAAATGAACGAAGATTGCTTCAAACGTCTGTCTTCCTTCATTCTTTATGGCTTTTAGATTTCTAATATTTTTATGAGGTTACACGCTTAATTTCCTTACTGAACTTGGCACAATTCTAAATTCTTGGTGTTTCATTTTGATTTCGTAACTTCAGTCTTAATATAGTTTTTTAGATGCGTGAAAGTCTGTTTTGTCATCAGTTGCCTCTCGTGTTACCTTTAGCATTTAATTCAGTTTCTTTCTTGAAATTTCCAGGATTTCTAAAGTTTTATTGCTTTATGCGCAAATTAGGTATCGAGGATATTATTTTTCATGACTATAATACATATTTCACCTCAGTTTATTTCTAAAATAATGTTGCGTGTTACTCATTTTGGATCGATTTCCCAAATAAATACGTAAAAAGAAAGAACTTAGTCTTTTTCATGGATAATAAATTTACACAGATGATAAAAACAAGCTTTAGGAGTACACCGGGAGATACTACCCAAAAACCTTCCATCGATCAACAACAAATGTCTTAGATTCGGTCCTACAATTGAGTAATTTGCATTTGTAGATAAAATATCACGAATTTTCAAGGCGTAAGAGTACTGCAAATACTCTTAACTTAATACTTCGCTGTAATTCCAGTGCTGATCTCTAGATTAAACAACTGACTGAGGACTTCCTCTTGTCTGTTTAATGAGTTTTCTTCATAATAGTATTAATGATCATATATGCAATGAGGTTAATTTGTTTTATTATTATTTTTTTTTTCACTTGTTTAAATTTCATTTGACTGAAATAAGTATTAACACTAGTTACGTTTTCCTTAGTATTTTACCTAGTTCTGTGTTTACGTGATATATTAGCAAATTGAGTGGTTACTAAATGATTATACTTTCACTTATTTCCAGTCTACTTTGATGTCAGTTACAAACATTTTTTTAGTAGGAAGAACACATTCTGGTAAATTTTGCGTTAGAATCTGTAACAAGGAAAGTTGATTCAAACCTCAGATTTTCCCTATTAGCTCATTCTGGTTCTTATACATTTAGAATAAGAAATAAGCGTTCTTTTGATAACCATCTTTTTCATCATATAGGAAAGTAAAATGACATTTAGAAAATAAGTTTTGAATTCGCGAAGACAAAGTACCTAACGTTTCTTCTTTGCAAATGTAATATCACACACATCGTCATCTTTCTCTTTCCTTATTTTCCATCATGAATATAAGTATCATTTCAGGAAATTCTTTTTAACTTTTCACTTTATTATAAAAGTAGTATCTGCATTTCCATATCTAAGTTTTGCTGTAGTATAAAACACGTTTGCTGCTTTCAGCTAAATTGCATTAGTATTAGTCATTTCTAACTTGATTATAATAATGTTCCTTTCTTAACGAACTTCTTTTTACAAACTAATTGCTTTGGAAGTTAAAGGAATTTCCTGAAACCAAGTATAAGTATTAAGGTTTAATGCTTTAAGTTAGGATGCAGTCTGTCTAAGGATTTAAATGTAACCTCCTCCCAGAACATTTCATAACTTTTATTTTGGTATTCTATTGGTGTGAGAATTTTATTTGTCATAATTAACAAAACATTCATATTAATTTCTTCGTTTTAGTTAGTTTTAGTTTCATCTCAGAACTTTAATGACTTTTCAATTTTAAAAATTACTTAAAATATTCGATATGTTTGAAAAAGATGGCTACAGGCATTATTTCTTTAAATAATCTTCAAGACATAATGAATTCTGATGATTAAAATAATGTAAATAATTTTATAAAATTATGTTCAGTATGTGGGAGAAAAAATGTTTCGATAAAAATAAATTCTTATTTTTTATATGGTCCTTGAAGATGAAAACTTATAATTATAATGTTCTTGATATCATGAATTGACTAAAACTAAAATATTTCTTTATGTGTATAATTGGCAGAGATATGCTCAATGCATACTTTCAGTAACAAGTTTATTAATAGATGTTGTTTAATAAGGTTGTTCTTTTGGAAGGGAGAGGGGTACCTTCTGCCAAAACTTGTTCTTAAAAATATTGAACTGCTTTGTTAATAGGTGTCAGAAATGACTAAATAGTTAAAAAAAAAGGGGGGGAAAAAACGAATATTTTCCTAAAATTTTGCATTTAAAGGTATGCAGCACTTTTTTTTAAAAAAAACTGAATCAAAGCATAATGAATAAACACTTTGTAGGAAATTTTATGTTAATTAGCCATTTATTTTATTTTGATTTCAGCCAATTAGGCTTTTCACACTAAAGTAATATTACCAGATGAAATGTAACCCTTCTTATGCATCACTGTAATCAAGTTTTCTGCATCAAGGTTACAGCATTATATAGGGAAAAAAAAAAAAGAAAAGAAAAAGAAAAAACTTTTCTATTGATGGAAGGAATTTCTTAAAGAACCAGGGTTTGAAAATTTCACGGCTCATCCAAGCGCTTTTCTAACTACAGTATTTTACAGAGGGAAAAAATCTTTTTAACTTTTTTAAAGGATGTAGGATTTTGAGACTTTCCAATCATTACAAGGTCCATTTGGTTCATCCGTTACACTTTCAATTTCAGTTAATTCTTTAAATGTTTTCTTGAATGTTTCCATTTCTTCAAAATTTTATGATAGTTTTTCACCACAAACATTCAACTGACATATACTGTAATATTTGTTCCATCGGTCCAGCAAACAGCTGTCCGCTACTCTGTCCAACACCCAACTTGTCAACTACCTTCTGCATTGTAGTTTCCCTTAGAAAGTCCTCCACGAAGGCATCCCTCCCCTTAGGCAGATAGCCCTAGTGTGCTTTGCCATAATTAAATACACCAATACACCTTCTGCATTGTCTTTTCCTTGTCCAGTCTCTTGATTGCCTCAAGTTTTTGTTCAGTCGATACAACTGTCTTTCTTTTCTTCACCGTTCTTTCTGTACTAGCGTAAATTTCAACTTTTAAACACTACAACAATGTTTGTCAAATTAGACGCACCATGCACAATCTTACTACACGCATGAAGAGTAAGAGATGGTAAACCGATCCTCAGACATGATAAACCAAGGCCTTCTTGATGGGATCTCCCATCAAGATGGCCTTTGGATAAACTCACTACACTGAATGACAGATGCATGCATCATAGTATCAACGGGTGTGTCTCAGGTAGAGTCGGAAGCAACAATATATCAATCAATAAATAAAAGACTACTTTCACAATAGTTGCTAATGCATGTCCCCTCCGATGTCGGATAAGCGAGACTAATAAATATTTTTAAACTTAAAGTATGCTGTAGAATAGGGATATCATGGCTATGTGACCCTCCCCCCCCGAAAAAAAACATGCACGACCCCAGTCGGAGAGTCGAGCCTTGGTTGTATACCATCAAATCAGTTTTCTTTTTTTTTTGGGGGGGGGGGAAGATTTTTATCTACCGTGCAACACTACTGTATTAGGGTCGCGATCCAGTTTGAATACTACTGCTATACAAGATGTGTTATTAGGTATTTCATTGCATTAGCCGTGTTAAACGGTTTTGTTATAGCCTTTTCCTCTTCTTTCAAATCACTATCTAAAATTGTTTCAAATTCACTATCTAAAATTATCTTTTATAGTGGGACCCGAACTGCACTCCAGTCATTTAACTTTAGGATTGTGGGTACTTATTGGCATGTTCTCCTTTGTTATCATAGAAATCATGTTTGCTGCTTCACAGAACAGTAAGGTATGCTGCTTTTATTTCATGTCTGATTTTTTCAATTGGAATTATTTTTATTGCATTAAAATAAAAAGAAGAGCATTTTTATGTAGCTAGTATATTTTTGCTTAAATGTAACGCTTTTTTTTTCCTGTACTGTCGGTACATTAACGTGAAATTAGAGTTTACTTCGATATCTTTTGTGGATTTTAAAGATTTTCCGCTCCATTCATTCATATCAGGAATCTTGTATAAATATACAGAAATTCCCTTCTATAAAACAGCACTAGCATGTTTTGTGGGAAAAAAATTTCAGTCAATTTATTGATGTAAATTTATAGTATTACATAAATTAAAATTTATTTAGATTACTTTCTTGAACATTTCATTTTCATTAAAAATGAACGTTCTTTAACCTGAAAATAAATAAATAAATATAATTCCCCTGAAAAAATTATTAAAGCATTTTAATCTGTTTGTGATGTTGAATACTAAGGTATTCATATATAGGTCATTATCTTGTAATCTGTATTTTTAGCTGTTACTATTTTTCTCCTTTAATATTTATCATATTCTTTTCACAGGAAATTTCTGATAATGCCATAGAGATTTCCGAAAATAATTTTTATTCAGAAAAAAAACACGAGAAGCAAATACTGACATCGTCATCTAACATACTGTGCAATGGCAATTCCTCATGTCATAAAGTAGCTTCTGAGATGCAGCAAACTTTTATGCAAAATGGGTATCTGAAAACTTCTAATGGAAGTCTAATTAAAGAAGTTCCAAAAGTTTTGCAAACAATACACGTAAGTTCTTACAAATTGCATCAAATAAGTAAATATATGCTGAAATCTCTTGAAGTAAATCTTGAATCTCTGTTTTGATTTCTTAACCAAGTCCAGACTGATATGATGCTTTCTTAGGAGTTTTGAATAGGTGCTTAATCAGTTTCCAATTAATTTAGCTGTTTTAATGATGATATTGCTCCTTATTAGAATTATGAGGTTAATAATTAGTCTTATGAGAGCAATATTATGAATTTGAAATTTCATAAAATTTCTATATATATGCATTATGTTCGTTAGGGGGGAAATGGGGGCAGGGGCTGAGTAACAGAATTTATTGTTGTTATTTGACTTAAAATTCTTTTAAATTATGTGAACCACTGAGCAGTATTGCTATTAGAAGTTTTATTTGATTAAACTACCTACTAATTTTTTATTGTTATTTAGTTATTATTATTTATTGTTAATAGAAAACTGTGCAAAAATGCTCCAGTTCTTTGTTCACCAGTTCATAAATGTACTAACTCCCTGTAAAGTTGTAGGGTTCAAGCCCAGCAAATATGCTGACTGCATGAGACTTTTTGTGACTTTGTTCATGGAAATTTCATAGGATGGGAAGAGATTATTGGGGTAGTTTTTAATTTCATGTACTAACTTTTATGGCAATATGGGTGAAAAAAAATCCTGCATGACATTTTGAATAAGGCTAAAACTTTCAAGCAAGTAAAGATGCTAAATACAAGAATATGAATAAAACTCAGCTTTGAATTATAAAGTAATAGTTATATTAGGTAGTAAATGTGATACCTTAAAATAATGAATAATTATATTTATTTTGAATTAGTTATTTCATATTAAATTTATTTTTGTTTTAAAGGGCAATACTTTCTGTTAATATACTATAATGTGTGTAAGTGTGTGTATATCTTTTTGTATTTAAACAATCTATTATATATTTTGCTTTTTTAGATATCTGGCTATCTGAATTTAATGGCAAATAGTATAGATAACTTTACTCATGGGTTAGCAGTTGCAGCTAGTTTTCTTGTAGGAATAAAGGTAATTTTTTTCATGAATATCGTATTAAATCCTTTTTTAAACAATGAAATGTAATGTAATGTAATGGGTGAATCAAAATGTAAAAGTAATTTTAAAATTCTGTCACAGTACACAAAAGCTAAATAATATAAGATGTTCACAATAATTTTTGAATTTTTCAAATGTGCATAGCTCAGCTTTGTGCTGCACTTTACATGTCCCTGCTAGTTGAAACCGGAATCAACCGATGGGTGTTTTACTACAAAATTGCATCATTTTAGAAGAAAGTGCTATCATATTACATCTGTGAGCTGGAAACATAAAACAAATTGAAATTAACGAAAATGTGTTTCATCAGTATGGAAGTAAAAATTGCTTAATTTTGCGAAAAGTTTTTAAATTAATATTTATAAAATGGGGAAGTAAGTGTAATGGAAGAAGCTCAGTCTGATCAGCCATGAGTGCTGTGAATGTTGCGTGTGAATGCCACCATAAATGGTTTGATCAGAAAAGACCAACAGATTATATTTTTTATTGTCATTGCACATGAGGCAGGCATCTGTTCAAAATGTAGTACGTAAAGGCCTAAAGTTAGTGTAAAATGAATCTTTTAACAGCTTACTGATCTACATGAGAAATGATGCATATATGTTGCAAACGAAATCCTAAGATATTTTGAAGAAGGCTGAATTTTTTGGAATAATTTCATCAGCAGTGAGATTTGAATGCATAATCTGGAATAAAAAGCAAGAAACAAAGTGTATAAATGGAAGTGTTTGCTTTTTCCAGTTAAAAAAAAAAAAAAAAAACAGGTGATAATTTTACAGCAAGAAACAATCGTGCTCACTAACCTTTTGAGACATAAAAGGTCCTAATCTGTGGAATTTTCAGAAATGATGTGAAAGTGGTCATAGAATGTCTTGCATTATACTTGTGCAGGAACTGAAATATACTATTTATAAAAAAGAAGAATTAATAATGTGAAGAATATTCTTGATGTACTGTAAGAATGCATATGGCATATCTTCTAGCACAAAGGTTCTCAACCGGTGGTACGCATGAGAAAAATAGATGGTATGCAAAGAAGCAAAGTATTTTTAACTACTAAATTCAAAAATTAAAACCCCAACATGCTGATTGAGTCTTTTCTCTAACACTCGTAAATTTATGTTATCTGAATTTATGTGTTCAAGAGTAGTGGTGGTACTAAAGGTTTTCAATTTTTGTTTAGGTGGTATGCGTTAGTCAAAAGGTTGAGAGCGGCTGTCCTAGCAGCTGCAGTTGTGTGTGTGGGGGGAGAGTAGGAGTATTCAAGTAATTTATAAAAATAGCTAAAACTGGTGATTCAGATACCTTTACATAATTGTCAAAGCACAGCAAACTTTGATACTGTGCCTACTGTACTGTGTGATATTACTTTTCCATAATTTTTTTCCCACTGTCAGATATCAGTGATATCTCTAGGAACAGATCATTGTCATCCTAAAGGCTAACCATATACTTAATACAGGATGTTTTTCCGAACGTTTTGGATATATTCTGCACTACTATGAGCCTATGAATTGTTTAACCACAATTCATAGGCTCATAGTAGTGCAGCCACAAGATGATCTCCGAGTGAACCATATGTAATCATATTTTCTGTTTTGCATGTAAATGTTAACAAATTTTCAATCCCTTATAATTCTTTTGTTACAAGAATTCTGGTTTCTTTAAAAAAATCTTTAAGCTGTTCGTTTTACCGAGAAGTGAAGACGCTATATCTTTCTTCCAAGAAAGACTTGTAGCAATTGCTACATCATAAACATTATTTTTCTGCTTTAAGAATTACTTTACACTACCAATTTTGAAATAAATACAATTTATTATTCACTTTTTAAAGAATTTCTTTTTTAAATGACAATATTCTACGATTATTTTCGTTTCCTACTGTTGCCACTCACAGACTACATAAACTTGTACGAAAAAAAGATTATATATGGTTAGTAGAGGTTACACTACTCCCCTTCCAAACAACATAGTTGTGATACAAGGAGAAAAAGTATTGTTCTCACATAAATACTTACATTACAATAAACTATATAAATACTATTTACAAAATATTAGAGTCTTTATATGAAGAATTAGTAAACAACATTTAAATATTCACGTAATCTTGGTAACGTGCTGGAAAAGTAATTGCTCTCCCGCTACGTGTTGTTTTAAATTTTAAATCATCCGTGTTTCCATTTTCATCTCCGATTAATGAAATAGTAGGTTTTTCTTTATTTGTTAGGTTTGGAGAATCATCTTCGCCTGAGGCTAGCAAGTAAGCTTGTTTTAATCGATCGACGGAAACATTGATGTCTTTTTCTTTAATTCTCTATTTGTCATTTCTGGCAATGACAGGAAAAGGTCCTTCATAAGGAGGTTCTAATGCCTTTTTGACACGATCCACTCTGACAAATACATGCAAACACGAATTTAAATCTTCATTTAAAAATAACTTTTGTTTTCTTTTGCATTGACCTTTAATTGGTTTTAATTGTTCCTTTTGTTTTCGGAATTACTGGTGAAAGTATCTGGTTCTAATTTGGTTTCGGGCTCTTGAAAGAATTCTCCTGGTAGCTTCAGTGATTTACCATAGACCATTTCTGTGATGGAACAATTGGCATCATCACGTAGAGATGCGCATAAACCAAGGAGTATAATTGGTAAAATTTCACTCTATTTGAGTGAATTGTGAGCTGTAATGGCTGTGTTTAATGTTCTGTGTACTCTTTCAATTTTTCCGTTGCTTTGCGGGTGGTATGAAGTTGTTGTTTGCATTTTAATTCCACAGATAGTACCTAAAATTCTGTACAGTTCTGATCTGAACTGATTTCCTCTATCTGTGATCACATTGAAAGAAACGACAAAACGACAAATCCAATTTGCATAAAATGCTTTTGTGATTGTTTATGTAGTAATATTTTCTATCGATATAACTTCCATCCAGCAAGTAAAATGATCAATGTATGTTAAGCAATAATTATTTCCATTTGATGGTGGGTATGGTCCAATTATATCGATATGAATTATGCTAAATCTTTCATCTGGTTCGTCAAATGAGTTAAATTTGGAAAAATGTGTGGAGAATAATTTTACTTTTCTGGAATTAATGCAAGTTTTAGCCCATTCCCTAACCACAGTGGCTAATCGCACCGACGGTGCGAATAGCTAACAGGCTATTCACACCACCTTCGTTCGCGCATGCACACAATCAGCCCAGGTACCAGCATTATACGCCGATTTCCGTAAGGCAGGCGGTAGCGAGAGCGAAGGTTGTGAACCCTAACTCAGCAATAGAAAGGGTTGTTAATTGTTCACCAGCAAGAGAATAATTTGCAAGTAATAATTATCAGTTACAAAGACAAGGTCAATCTATATACATGATAATGTTGAGGAAATGATTAGATAAAACAGGGGTTTAATGATGGTTCTAATTGCAAATGGTTCTAATTCAATTGAGGACGAGTAATTAGTTAAAAAATCTTTAATTTATTGACAAAAAGGCTACAGAAATTACTTAAATTCTTTTATTTAACAGAGGAATTTTTATGCAAACTTAGACCCTAGTCTTACAGCATAGGACTCAGAATAATTATTCAATAAGAAAACTTACTGAAAATTATAATATTCTTATATATTCATCGCTTTTTCAGTATCCACACATGTTTATAGGTTCAAATGCCATATTTCAAAATCAAAGTTATTTATGAAATAAAACCTTATAAAAATCTGATGAATCATTTGTATGCGCAAATTTTTAAATCTAAATCTCTTACATTAAATTATTTCTGTCTTTTAAATTGCATCCCATTATTTATTTCAATTTAATTTATTAATGTGTTTGTATTAATATTTCAAAGTTCTTTGAAGTACTTTTTGTGTCCTGAAAATGCCAAGTATTTCCATAAAAAATAAGCAGGCATACAGAACAATTCATTTAATAGTTGATATAATCGCTTTTAGCTTATTTCATGTCTAAATTTTCTACACAGAAATCCTCTGTCTAATTTTTATTATCTTTTCTCGGACGAAAATTTTCAAAGAGGAATGAATTAAAAGTCTTGATTGAGCAAAACACATCTTTAAAGCTAAATGTATTCTAAGAAGTACAAAAAATGTAAACAAGATTTTGTTCCCCCCCCCCCCAAAATCAGTCAACTATTGCAACCGTTCATGAAAAGGATAAACATAGCGAACATAAAAATCTGCCCCTTTTTTTATATATACTTTAATAAAAGGAAATGTGTTCCTTCTTTTTATAAGAAAAGGAACCCATTTTTCTTTCTAAACTTTTGAAATTCGCCAATGCTTAAAATATGATAAACTACGCCAAGGTAGTAATCCGCCGTTTTTTTAAAAAAAGATTCACTACAACAGTTCGCGCACGTAGAATCCGTTCCTTTCGATTGCGTTCAAATGACGGATTTGACAACTCAATGCGCATGCGTGATTAATGTTGGTGCGAATAACTTAAGCGGCTAATCGCACCGGTGGTGCGAATAGCATCGGCCTTCTGTAACAGCTTTCTTAATATTCTTCCAAATGAATCTTGATGCTACTTGTTTCACTGATGATTTGATGCCAGGATGGTTCAAGTCGTGTATTTTGTGGAAAACATTTATTCGAAATTGTTGTTATGGTATAAACGGTCGAATAGTTGAAGCTGAAATATCACACCGGATTACTTTTCCCGAAGGTAGTGGATATTGGTTAACATTTAAATTTTTGCTACCATTTAGTAATTCTATTAATTCTTCATTATTGATTTGTTCATCCGCAATTTTGTCATAATCGATGTCCGAAACTGATTCAATTCTAGACATCGAGTGTGAAGCAATATTATCCTTCCCAGTTATGTATTTTATATTTGCCGAAAATTGCGAGATATACTGGAGATGTTTTAATTGTCTAGGAAATGCTGTATCATTTTTTTCCCTTTAAATGCGAATATAATTGGCTTGTGATCTATGAAAATTGTAAATTCTCGTCCTTCTAGCATATGCTTAACAGGGGCGTAGCTAGAGGGGGCATCTGTCCCCGGGCGCAGAATCCAAGGGCGC